AGTTAGCATCTCCTATTTGTGTGGTATCGCCTTTGGGTGGTGAGTTGATCTTGAAACAGATTTTAACAGACCAAATGTGTAACATTTAGGCTCTGATCACACCCCCAACTTACATTTTGCTAGTTCTCGAGTAAAAAAAATTAAAAATAAAATATATCCAAACTCTTTTGAAAATTTAAAACTCTTTTTAAAATTTATAATTCAAAAACTCAAAACTATTTTTATAATTCATAATTAAATAATTTTTTTTTCAAAATTCAACTCCTAACTCTATATATAAATCACAATTCCGTATTCAAATTATAATTCTAAAATTAAACAGGGAGAATTTTCTGAAAGGTGTTTTGAGAAAATGATTAAAAATTGACTATGTAGTATTACCATAACTTTTTTTAAGAAAATGTTAGAGGTCCCAAATTTTCTACTAAATAAATGACCAAATGTCTCACATGGGCTTACAAAGTTGTGGACCTCATATACATGTGAGACATTTGGTCATTTGTTTGGACCTCATACCCATGTGAGACATTTGGTCATTTGTTTGGTAGAAAATTTGATATCCCTAACATTACTCTCTTTTTAATTTCCTAAACTCAGCTTTATAAAAAAAGTTATGGTAATACTACATATATCAATTAATGTATTAATTAATGTCATATTATTATTACTGATCTATTTATTATATAAATGATAAATATTTAAAGGGAAAATTATTTATAAGTACTATTAGGGAGACTTATACTATATATGGTTCTACTAAAAAATTTATGTTCCCATAAGTTCAGTGGGAAGTTTGTTGACACATTTACTCTCAATATTAGTTGTTAATATCATAAATAATAATAAAACTATATATAGAAAATTGAATGTTACTATAGATCATATCTATATAAACGTAACGTGACACCTACATAAACGTAACGTGACACTTATGATCCATGGTAACATGCAATGTAGAAAATTACATGTTACCATATATCATATCTACATAAACGTAACGTAACGTGAAACCTACATAAACGTAACGTGACGCCTATGATCTATGACAACATTCAATTTCCTATATAGGAAATTGAATATTACCATAGATTATATTTATATGAAACGTAACGTGACACCAATATAAACCAGCAACATTTTTACATTTAATTTAAAAAAATAAAAATTCATTAAGTTTGCGAAAAGTAACGTGACATGTTACGTTACGTTTATGTAGGTGTCACGTTACGTTACGTTTATATAGATGTTACGTTACGTTACGTTACGTTTATGTAAGTGTCACATCACGTTACATTTATGTAGGATTTTGTGAAATACATTCATATCTAAATAGGACTTGAGACTCTATTAGAAATTACACAGAACTTAACGTACCATAAGTGTCTAAAAAAGGATTTATAAATAAATTTTTCATATTTAAAATCTCTAAAATTATATTACATTATTTATTAATATATTAATTAATATATACATATAGTATTATTCAAAAAGTTAACTATTTCCGCTCTACTTTCACGGTTCCTGAGCCTTTGTTTGGGAACTTGGTTTGGGGCTAAAATAGCCACAAAAAACAAAATAGGCTATTTTAGCCACAAAAAACAAAACATCAAATCCAACTCATAATCATTACAATCCTCTCTCACAAAAAAAGTCAAAAAAATCAAAAAGCCAAAAAGCCCTTCCCAAACCAGGCTAAAATAGCCCAGGCTAAAATAGCCAAAAAGCCAAAAAGCCAACCCACTTCCCAAACGGAGGCTGAATGAGTTTTGTGTGATATTTTAAGAAGTTGGTAAAAAATTAACTTTTGACTTTTTTAAACTATTTTATCTTTTTATAAATAAAAAATATGAAAAGTGATATAATCCAAAATGAATAAAAAACTAAAAGTTAACTAGCTTGCCAAATTACCCTTATATATAGTTTTAGTTATGTCATTTTTTTAATTATAATTAATTTTTTTAATTATAATATTATTTAAAAATATGTAATTATACTTTTCATTATAATTTTTTAATTATAATTCAAAAAATAAAGATTTATACATTTTTTTCCCTTTAATTATAAAGTTAAAGAGTCTTTCCCCGAATGCACACGTCCCTGTATAACCTTCTCTCCCAACTGCATATAGGAGCATTAAATTATTAAATATTCTATAAAAAAAAAAAATTTAAAGAATTGTTTTTTTTTTCAAATTATTTGAGAAACTAACTTATTTTTTAAAATCGCACTTTGAATATACAATTTTAAATTAAAATTACATCTTCAACATGTAATTTCACATTAAAATCGCATGTTAAAAATATAATTTATGATGACATAGATTTTACTAAGATATATTACATTTTCAACATGTAATTTCAAAAAGTAAGTTAATTTCTTAAATAGTTTGAAAAGTAAATTAATTATCTAAATTATTTTTATTTTTTAGAATATTTATAATAAAAAAAAACTCATGCATATATCGACCATCTCATAAAATTAAAAATAAACAAATAAAAATACCCTTATATTTTACTATTAACTTAAATTTATTATACTCTATCAATTGGCAAACTAAATTTTACTAATACCAGAATATTTTCTCTAATAAACTTATTGAAATAAATATAAAAATTTTAATATTTCATTTCAATTCTTTTTTGCCACATTGCCTTAAAAATAAAGAGAGATAGAAGATGAGTGGGAGAGAGGAAGAGAGACCAAAAAAAAAAAAAAAAAGAGAGAGATAAGATTGTTATATTACTTGACAAACTTTGGTTTGATAAAATATAATTATGAATTTCATTGATAATGTAATTATATTTGACCAAAAGTATAAGTTTTGTAATTTTTGAAA